AACTATGTTGTAACCAGCAAAATAAAAGTTTTTTTGTGGTTTAAGCCAAGTCTCTGACAAAGCAAAAACAAATGGCTTGTATGTGTTGGTCAAATATATAAGTTCACTTCTTTTATTTATAATACTCTGAGTGTTCCACTGTATTATATTGCGTAGATCCATTATTAATTGTTAACATTAAATTTTCAAACAAAGAGGCAACGTTGGACGGTGAAATAAAGTTATATTTAGCTAATACATTAAATAAAGCTGTTATTTACTCAATATGAGATTGATTGTCTTGATCTTGAGAAGGCTTTTGTATAGCACATCCATTAGCAGGTGTAGGGATTCTAAAGTCATTTATGATAGCATTATGTGCTTCTTTATTGTAACCCATATTGGTATGAGAATTATTTATTTTACGAGGGTTTAAGAACACTGTTTTCTTATAGGATGTAGTGGAAGATCTACTATTTTGAGATGTGTGAATATTATTATACAAAGGCGATTGAGGAATAGGCTTAGAAGCTACTATGTCTGCATATGATTTAGCTGCTGGAGGGTGAGCTTTGGAAGCCTCGGCATAAGACACACAGTTTTGAGCCATGAAAGTTTTAATTTGTTTTTGTCTCATAAATTCTGGACATACTTTACTGTCGGCATAATGAAAGCCAGAACACAAACAGCAACAGGCATCCTCTTCAACTGTACCACAAGATTCCCCAGTGTGTTCCTTGCCACATTTGTAACAACGGGGCTTAGATCTACATTGTACCTTTGTGTGACCAAACCGACAGCAATGATAACACTGTATCGTAGGGTATATATATAGGTCAACATTTAAAGCGTTATAGCACAAGTACACTCTCTTAGGAAGTATCTGTCCATCAAAAGTAATAATTACAGTTTGTGAAGGTTTCCATGTTGGGCTCCCATCAATAAAAGTTTTGAAGTTCATGCGTCTGACTTTCATTATAGCCCCACATCCTACAGGTACTGAAATATTAGCCATGACCTCTTCAGGTGACCATTCAGCTGGAACACCTCTTACTAACCCCATTCGGGTGACATTAAAAGTTGGTATATATGCTCGGTAATTATTTACTTGAAGAGCTTTATCATTAAGAAAAGAGTTTGCATCTTTAAAATTAGTAAAACTAATTGAAATTTTATTCCAGCCAACTTTCTTAACACTGCCGTTGATAATGTTTGGGAATTTATTATTTTTTAAAAAATTGCCGAACTTAACTGGATGTATTGATGTCTTGTCATCTGCTGATAATACTATTTTTTGTACATGTAATATAAAAGGTGAAACATCTGACTCGCAATAAGCTTTCCTACCGATAGGAGTTGATGAATTAGCTACTGAAGGAGGGATGATTGAATCCTGCATTACAGATGTGGGTGGTGGAGGAAGGTCTAGAAAAGTATTATTGTTACCAGATGAAATTTCAGTGCAAGAACAATCTGTTGGTTTCGGTTCAGAACCGTGATGCCGCCTTCTTTTTTTGTTACAGGTTTTGCATACTTTGGAGCGACGGCTCCTTTTTAAAGTAGATCTATTCGATGTAGATGCATCCGTATCCATCCCTGACTCGGAACAAACCGTAACATAGCTACCTGCCGGGGGGACGAATCCCCCCGGGTCGTCGGGGGGCTCGCTCATAAAAATAATTAAAAAAAACTTACCTAATATCTGCAGCTAAGCACTAATTCTAATATATACACAAATATATATATGTAAATACACAAAAATACCCTTCTAATGGACTAACTTAATAATTAATTTTAATTATTTTACGCCACTAAAAAAAACTCGCCTAACAATTTCAACGTTTCCCGCGCTTTTTTAACGAACAACCTTAAAATTTCCAAATACATGTGAAAATGGCTGTAAAATTTGAATTTGGAATCCCAACCAAGGAGGAGAGATTTGTGATTAAAGTGGCCAGTACGACAAAACGCCAATTTCATATGTACCTATGTACCTAATATAACAAAGGCTTTAAGATTTCCTTGAACTTGGCCTATAAAAGGATGTTATTTCCTAAATTTATAGTTCTATGTAGGGGCGGTAGCTACTACCGCCGTATTAATCAAAAGAGGCATAGATGATTTTAATTTCAAAAAAAGATATTGTTGTATTTGTGACTTGTAATTAATAAAGCCATAAAATATATTTGAGGAACACTTTATTGTAAGATTCACCATTACGAGAGGGAGAGAGAGAGATCCTTGTTCTTTTTATACATCAAACAAAGGCATCCTTTTATACAGCCATATACTACAGATATCTCTAAACGCTTCCGAAATACAAAGTGATATAAGGGTTCCGTTTGTTCCTTTTGAGACATGAAATCCTAAAAACCTAGGTCTACGAGTACATATAAATTTCATTTTTGGTTCGCTAGTATTATTTTCGTAAGTTAAATCTGTCTCTTTATTTTATGAAGTCATTTATATTTTAGAAAATATTAATAAAGCAGCTGTCGTCGTTTATATTTTAGACTTTACGGAAAAACCAGCATTTTGAGTTTAGTTAGGTTGCTTTCATCTATTATGTCTACTTAATTCTTGATTATAGCAATGATTCCGTATAACGTTCGGCTGTAAATATTATCAGAGGCGTTAAAATTACTACATGTACTTATACAAACAATAAATAAATAAGTTTTTATTTGCAAAATAAATTAGCTAAAATAGTTCACTATATTTTATTGTATTATTAGTAAGAGTAATAATTTATTACTCATTCTACTCATTCCTATGAATACCGATACCGACACAATTTACAACTACACTAACTAAAACTAACAATTTAAAAGTATATCAATGTACAGTTAAAGGCAAAGCCGACGCGCGCTCAATGAATCTTGATGTCCTAGGCATAAATCTGAAATTTAGAAAAACACTAGAACGACACCAATAAAAATAACAAAACAAAATAATAAATTAAATACAGCGATTAAAGTGTTACTTTGCCAATGACAAAAGAAACTTCGTGGCTGTTCTGAAAATTTTGTAATTTTGAATATCGCGAACACAGGTCTGTTCAAAAAACAAAAGTATTTTTTTGTGTTCCGTAGTAAACAAGGAACCCCTATGGTTTCGTCATGTCCGTCTTTCGGTGCGTCTTCTGCTTAGCTCAAAAAGTATTGGTACTAGAAATTTAGGAATTTGCATTTGCAAAGGGACAAAGAAACATTAAAAATAAGATATTCTTTTTTCCGTATTCCCTATAGTGTGATCTTTCAAAAACAGTGGGGATGTGGGAAGGCCATTTTTCCATTTAGGAAACCGTTTGTGACTTATTAAGCTTTAAGCTCATTTTCGTTAGAGTGTCCCCTCCTCTACCAACTAAACGGTCGTTGGTGAAAATTCAAACGTTACGACAGTAGTACCTTTATATAACGAATTTAAAAGGAAAACTATAACATTTAAGTTGGGTTTACAAGTTTACGAGTAATAGTCGACCAATTGTATTTAAATCGAAAATTTCAAACAACTCCATAGAAAACTACAAACGTGTTTTATATTTTAATAAAAAAATGTCCTCACTCAAAGATACCATAGCTTCTCCAGTGAATATACTATTTTTTCTACTTTTCTTTCATAAATAAAAATAATATTTGTGAAAATGCAAAGATATTTACTATATGTGCTTAGATTCATAAATCTATATTTTTGGTGATTAGCTGAAAAGTTAAATAAATTGGGATATATTACCTTTATCAATTATCAAACTTCTATACCAAGAACACTTCTCTTCTGATAGGTATCAGTTACTCTAGATCATCATCCGCCCTTTAATGTTCCCACTGCAGGGTGTCAGGCCTTACTTATGGATGGTTAAGGAGGATGGGCCATGATTAAATGGGCCATGAATATTAAAATTTTGTTATGCAGCGTGAATTTCTCCGCATAAATGACACGCCCATTATCTAAGACGCCTTGATTATTTATCTATGACGGAGATTGATTAGACAGCGGCAGATGAAAAATTTAGCTTCCTTTAGATCATATCAAAAGCTATTTGTGTATATATTTTTATTTAATCAAGATGAAATATAGTATTCGTAAAATAGATCTAAAAACCTACTTAGAGTCTTATTTTTTTCTATCGAGTTGATTATTGCCATTTATGTTTCTGTATTAAGCAAACCATTGATCATATGATTAATTTTTAATAAAATGATTTTTATTTGGCAAATATTTGCAAAGCCTTAGAATGAAATTTAACAAAAAAGTGATAATTTGAAACAACCTCGCCTTAAACTGGTTTTAATCAGTGCATCGCAGACGAACGCAGTAACCGTTACGTCATCAAGCTCTCCTTGTGAATGTCTTGTTCTAAAGCTTATTTTTAATTTAGAATGTTAATATGGGAGTTTAATAAAATATATCAGAACTCATAGTTTTTGTCCGTATTCGTGTCTTACTAACCGTTGCTGTGACTACCCTGTTACGGATTTTGTTGATGTTGTTCTATTTATTTTTGGTGATATACAAGGTGTGAAGTTGCTGCTGTTTAGTAATTCTTCGTGCTTACATGACAACTACTGATTTCACGATTTTGGTAAATATACTTTAGAATTTATTTTCTTAAATAAAAAAAATGTTCATGTGACACTCAAACAAAACTCAAAGTACATTGACGATTTTTAATTTTCAGGTCTAAGGATTTTCATCCTCACCAAATTCTTTGGAACCGATCCTGAAATAAACCTTTAACCACTAAAAATATCCATCAGTAAGCTTCAGTTCATAACAGACGGAGTTGTAAATTATCATATACATATGAATTGATAATCTATCCTATTTGAAGATTATAAAGCGATTCGTCAAAAACTCAGTAGTTTCAGATAATTAGAACATAAACAGACAGTGACGTAAAATTTAAATAATTTAGAGAAACCAGAAAAAGATGGCATGTAACTAAGTTACGTTACCTTGCGGTATGACCACATGATTTGAAGGTCTTATACAATACTTTCGTACTAAGGTTTAACATTTATACAAACGCTGTTCAGCACCCAACCAAGCTGCATGTGTTTTATTTTATTTAGATAAAAGTAACCTCGTTCATAATGAAGTTGCATTTAACACTGGTTTTTCTCGCAGTTCTCGCACGCAGTTATGGACTTGTCGACGTAGGTGAGTACAATTATCAAATCTTTGAATGATTTTGTTCCCAGTTATTCAATCCATTCAATATTCAGTTCATCACTAATTTTATGGCGTTTTATGATATTCAGGTTAAGGATCACATAAGACTATTTTTACGTAGCTACTAAAAATTGTATTAGATATGTTTAATGCTTTGATTATATACCTATTCAAAGGTTTAATATAATTATCTACATAAAAATAAAGTACCCGATGCGAACTACCCGGTGTGGTAGAATTGCTAATTTGATGAAAACCGTGAATTTTTTACATGTCTCCTATGCAAAAAAAAGTAAAAAAAAAATATTATTGGTATTTAAAAAAAAAAGTTTTGGAGATAAATGAAGTACACTGGTCAACTTGAACCTATTTAGGCATGTTTGGCGCTTATAAGCTGTTTCATTTGATGTGTGATACACAACATAGTTAACTTTTTTATTTTCTAATATTCCTCCAAAATTGGGATCGAATCAATTGGGATGAATTCACAATGCTGTATGTATTGATATTTTTTTCTAGAGCAAAATAGGCATCGATCTTACGTTTCATGTTAAATAAGGTCCCTATATGTATACTACTAGATTATATAGAGAACCGTTTGGGCACTGTATTCTATGCCTGTATTATACCTACATATAAAACTCGCCATTGAATCTGTATATTTATGAAAACGACATTAAAATCTAATGTATAGTTTAAATGGTGTTTTACACTATATAGAGATAGATAGACTTACACCAACCATAATCAAGTATCAATCGAATTATTCTGAAATGGTGCGTATAACTTTAATAACACAACATAATTAATTTCGTATAGAAAAATATTTGAAAATATGCGACCGTAGTTCTGTGGATGTGAACGATTGCTTGGCGGACGCTGTACAGGAAGGATTGGCAGTGATGGCGGATGGCATTGAAGACTTGGATGTACCAGCCGTGGATCCATATCATCAGAAAGAGCTCCGAGTCGATTATAAAAATAACCAAGTATTGTTATACCAATTTATATTTATGTTAAATATGGTCGACTTTGCTATTCTGTAAGAAATCATCGTCAAACGTAACGTTGAGCACAACAACTGTCGCATCATAGAGGTAAAAAAAAACCTTTATTTGTACCAATTCTGCTGAATCAGCTTTGAACTACGCTAAACTAAATAATCCTAAATTTATTTTCAGTCTGTTTTAACATAAGTTTATAATCATACGCAATTTTCATAAATTAAAAATTTACTATTACCTTTTGAAATAGAACCTTTGATAGAATCTCTATGCTATGACAGCGTTGTACTAGATTAAGTTCGTCGCTGATTTTATATTTCAGAAAAGCAAAGCTATGATCACGAGGAACTTGAGCCACGAAATATTACTTATTTTATTGCTTTGTTCTTTAAAGCGGAGAAATTAAGTGCCCTATTAATATATATCATTTATACCATTAAATTTTTCAAAAAATATTCATAATATACATAATATATTTATTGATTTATCGATTTTATAAACGCGTTATAGAATGTAAAGTTCATGGCAATAGGATAAATATATAAATACATAATTTAACATTAATATGTAAATAAATATCTTGATAGATTATTTTCTAAGGAGGTCCACTCTCTTATAACATTTAAGATTTGCTCAGTATCTTTCATAGATAATACATAATATGCGTATCAACACTATTATTTCAATAATTTGATCTACTCAAGATTTGGCAGTTCCGTTTTGAACATCTATATTTTAAATATATAAAAATGTTAAAATCTTTAATCATTCCTTCATAAATAACTAAAATTAAATAATACAGCTATGAATGTTGTTAGATTACTTAACTTGGAAGTATGGAAAACAATAGATTTTTCTTAGAACCAGGCGTGAAGACGCATAGATTATTCAATGACCATGATTAGGACCGGTTTTTTAAAGCTTCATTTCTAATGGCCGCGGTCTGGTATAAAAATAATATTTTTATTTAGTTCCTCATTAAGATTTAAAGTCAAAATTTAGAGTTCAAAATGAATAAGGGAAATTTGACGTGTATAATGTCGAAACGTCATTGTCTATTGCCATGAGCCATACACTTTCAATTTACCTTTATCATATTCGTGATTTACCTACCTATTGGTTTCTGTTGCGAGTCAGATATCGTCTTAGATCAGGTAGGATACATTGTTTACGATTTGGATAAACACCATCGATTCGTCATTGCGATCGGTTTGAAACGACGGATCGTACCGTATATAGGGTCCTTTAAGAGCAATGTTGGTGACCTCGTCGAGATTTTCCGTGATCTAGATATTACTGATTTGACGCTACAGCAAAAGTCCTTCTTGTCTAGATGAAGTCGCAGATTGTTTAATTTTCTATTGGGGTTAACAGTCAAAAATACTCTTAACCATAATCCAATTTAAAATAGGTATATACAACTCGTACAAATTAATATGACTATCCTGAACTTTTTAATCAAAGAAATTCTTTCTGGTAACTGGAAAGGCTTTCTGGTAACTCTATTTCTCCGAATATGATTTTTCACCTATTTTTAAAATGCTAATATACCTTCAAAGAAACGCATTTTTCGATAATTCTAACGCAACAGATATAGGACCAGACACTTCCTTTGATTCAAAGATAATGTTCACAGATATCATTTCAACAAAATATTAAAAACGATTCGAACTTTCCGAATTTTCTTCGAGGAACAATAGGCCCTCGGGTGTCGTGTCAATTCGTACGTGTATACATCATATAACATATTGCACACCTGGATCTAAATCCAACTAACTCAAAAAATGACAATTTTTGAGTCAACACGAATTCCTTCATCTTCCATCGCATATTGATCAAAAAAGCCAAATACTTCTATAGATACTACATAGAAGTTACCGATACTGTTAGCTTCAATGATGAGTAAATTCAAAATATAGCATCATTGTGTTAACGAGGTGGTAACGAGGTCGTTTGTTACCAATTCATCTATCGCACATTAAAAACTATATAGGTATAACGCCAATTGCTTCCAAGCCTTTATAAATTGGCAGATTAATTAAAATTCTTTTATCTGCTCTTTGTACATTTATTATGGCATCAAGATTTGAACTTGGTTTTTTGTAACGGTTCTGTAGGTAAGAATCTAAAAGCTTTCTTACATTTTTCAGATATTGGCAAAATTTGCGGCAAAGAATATTTACGTTGAAGGACTTAAATCATCTACAGTTCATGATGCGAGGTAAGAAAATGTTTGTTCGTCTTATTCATATTAAAAACAATCTTTAGTACGTAACGGTGGCTCAATGATTTGACGATGAAAGAAAACTTTTCTAAAACGACGCCTTTAAATTGACTCAATTTGCGACTAACAACAGGCCCAAACACTCAATAAATATTAGAGAGACATTTTGGCACTCTGTTTGTTAAAAACTATTTATTCAACACTGTGGTGGTGGGGAGAATAAAATTATTGTAGGTACTCTTCGACTGTTCTGATCCTTATTTTATTCTAATATTTTACTTCGCCTGCAGATTCAACCATTTGCCGTTTATTATATCAAAATATAAATACTCAGTAAACTATACCTTTATGATACGTGATGATGTACGATTACTTGCATAAATCTTATATAGGAAGTGTCCACCAATGTATTATGATTTAATTTGCTAAAAGTGCTACCTCTCAGAGCCTATGTAATAACTATATAATGACCGATTAGGTAATAAGAACGTTCATTATTAACAGATAAATATATTATTATCTTGTCCCCCGACTTCGCCAGCGTAAATTATAATCTAGCCTATGTAACCCGCGTATAATATTCCTACCAGGACGTGAAAGTATTTTTAAATTAGATCCAGTAATTTCGGAGGCTATTCAATGCAAACAAATATAAAAACGAAGAATGAAATCTTTTTTTATAATATTACTAGCTTTCCGCCAGCGGCTTTGCACGTGTTGCCTTGGAAACTGTTTAATGGGATAAAAAGTAGACCATAAGTAAATCCAGGCTTGTGATTTATTTTAAAAATTCATTCTTGTTTCATCCTACCATAATACGTGTATAAATTACAATGACATTTGAATAGTAAACAATGGTTAGGGTAAAGTGGGGCTCAGTATTACACGGGGCACACTGTTACAATGCACATATCTCCATCCTTGTCATTAATTTTTAAAATGTTTGTACGCAGTTTTGATCAGTTTTCATTACCTTAGTTTATGCCGCATATTGATGTTATTTAATTACAAAAGAATTTAGGTGACCAAACATAGATAAAATTACATTGTTTTTTTTACTTTTTCCTGTTAAATGATATTTAGGTAAGTGATTAAGGTTTACTTGTATTAACTGTTTTTTGACTGCATGTTATCGTTTAATTGTTTATTGTAAACACAATCTCTATTACCTACTCTTTTAAATGTTTTTGTTTGACTTACCCATCTGGGGCACTGTGTTATGGGGCACTGTATTACATTGCAGCAATGGGCCCCAACCAGATCTCCAGTTTGTTTTGTAGTAAGGATTTAAAAGAAAATAATAAGTAATCGTAATAGAAAGACGGCTCACGGTCTCCGTACTAAATGAAATATGAGAGAAGTGACTCTGATGGTCTGATGGAAAGTCTTTCGATAAGCACCAAATTAAAAGAATATTAATTTCATGGCATTGTTAAGAGATCTATAGGAGGAAATAGCCCCTCGCACCTTACGATTTTTGTTTTTTCCCAAAAATACAAGAACTTCTTCCGTAATAGAGTACCACAGATACCCGGTACAGTTACAATCGACTTTCGTTATTAATATGCAATTTAAATTAGATTGTTGCTAGCTAACGATTATATTTGATTAATTTTCCATTCACAGTGATATACTAAATAATATTCTTGATTGAATTTTTAATTAAGAATTATAGTGATGTTTTAATAATTCTAAGTAAGGGGAGATAGTTATATATAAGTTAGTTAAACGTTTTGATTCCCTATACAAACTTCCACTGCCATATTTTATAGGGAATAAAATATTGCCTATGTTCATGATGTGGCTACCCGTAGATGAAAGATTTTTTTAAATCGGTCCAATAGTTTCGGAGCCTATCTGATACAAACAATCAATCAAATCAAAGCTAAACGCTGGTATTACCGCGGTAGTTAAAAATCTGCAGGTATTGTCGAAGTATGTGATACAATTGTAGTTTTAGGCAATTGCAAGCATAATTTACTCAAAAAGTTGAACTTTTATGAAAGATTAATTTATATTCGTTTGAATGAATCCGTGGCACACTATGCACAACTAATCAGAAAACATAAAACTATTAGTTTGCGTATTATTAGTCATTATTACATTTAAGAATTATATATAGTAGATATTCATCATCAACCTATTAATATTTCCACTGCTGGGGCATAGATCTTCCAGTGACTGTTCGAATCAAGTTAAATAGGGAGAATGAGATACTATGCAGCTGATTAGTACTTTCATATTATAGGGACGCTTGCACGTGCAACAAACAGGTATAAAAAAAAAACAAAAAAACCGACTGCGAAAAAAAGAATTTTAAAAAATATATGAAAATATTAACTTAAATAAAAACTAAAAAAAAAAGAAACAAGCCCAGTACTTAAGAATTCAACAACAATATACTCAACATCTATTTTGTTTTCAAAAATTGACCGATGTCGATTTTCAGCTAGACTCCATTAAGACTACCACTCGGGACTCGCATAAATACTACCTACCAGTGAAAAAATTATTTGTCATATTCCAAGACTTACTTACTAAAGACTTATATTTCGACTAAACAACTCAGTAGTAAGTAACACGGTATTGAAAGAAGATTTGATTATTTGAACAAGAATTAACTTAAATTTAAAAAAAAAAACAATATTTTTGTTCAGACCGTACAGAGAAATCATAAATTTTTTAGGTGATTTTAAAAAAGGAAGCTAGAAATAGTAATGGGATGAATAAGGAATTTGAAATGAATTAAATTGTTGCGGGTTAAGTTCCCTTACTCTACAATTATAAGTAGGATAAGTTAGGAAAAAATAATGCATAGGATGAGAAATCATAGGATGAATACCGAACAACCCTAAAATAGCACTGTCATCAGCTCATGGTCTGTTAAATCAAATTAAACTATTTAGGTATGTACTTTGTTCATTTGATTGAATCTATAAAACCAATAAACTACAGGATTTTAATTTTTATCAGCGATCTTAAAAGAAAAGTGACTGGTGTATCCAATTTATGTTTTCGATTTTGTTTAAGATAAAATTGTGTAGTTATTATTTGTCGTGTTTCAGTTGCTTCTGTTTATTACGTTTTTTTGAAGTCGGTAATTTTTTTTATTGTAGCTTGTCTAATTGTCTGGAGAAATTAAAATTATCGTGTATAGATATTATGGATTTGATTTAATTCCTGTTATTTATGATTTTATTCTTATTCGTTTCAGACTTCGTGCTGATGAAGATAGGTTTCATTTGGAAGTGGATTTGACAACACCACGTGTTCATGTCTATGGTTCCTACCGCGGAGAAGGTCGTTATAACTCTCTACAGATTCTCGCACATGGACAATTTGATACTAACATGAGTAAGCAATAAACTTAGAGATAAAAGTTGTTTGTAAAACATCAGCATGCCTGGGGATATGTCTGGACTGACTCTCTCCATGAAGGAGGAAAGGGGTTGGGATAGCGTATTAACACATTCACGTGGACGAGGTTTAAAGTTTACTATTTTTATATTCAGTGTATTCTGATTTTATAAGGGAAAATTTATGAATAGGTCTGTGAGTCACCTTGTAACCAAGTGAGTATTTTATTACTGAAAAAAATTACTATACTTGTAATATCTCTCTCTATGTTCTGTGCTTGTAATAGTTTGCAAGTAATGAAAATAGTCTTTTGGCGCAACAAATATGTAACTCGTATGTAGACAGTTTTGAGAAAAATAGTTTTTAGTTAAATTTTATTAAATTATTGTTCGTTTCAAAATCGTTATATTTTTTATTAGAGGTCATATTATAATAGTCGGTTAACGTTCTAATAATATAGATATAATAATTTCATATTCTCTTTTGGGGACATCTCTAGTGTTTAAAAAACAATCAAATTGTAGCAGCGTTTAGTTTGTTGTTCAAAATTTTTTTTTTTTGATCCTACGTTGCTTCAGATTTCCATAATACTAGTGCTTTGGTTACTTAATTTGAGATCTTAGCAATATAATTATTTGATGTTGTCTAATATTTAATTATTTAAAAACATGGAGTGCGTTTTAAAGGGTTCTATATGTATAAATAAAATCGTTAGTTCCTCTCAACTCAAGTAAGAGAAGGAGATATCAATAATAAATGGAATAATATTTTGTTTAAATTTTACAGCTAACTTAGTTTACACATGGAAACTTGATGGAGTCCCTGAAAAAAATGAGAATGGAACATTTATTCGTATAACTGACTTTTACATGCGCCCTGATGTTGGGGAAATGACGTCTTATGTATCAAATAGCAATCCTGACAGCCGAGAACTAAGTAAGTTTTCTTTAATATATTCTCATAAACAATATATGTTATACCGTACCGAGAAAGACTGACGGCACGCGCACCGCGGTTGATATATACACCGAGATGTAAGTAGAACAAATTTTAGAATAGATTCTCCGTCACCTTGTAAAATACACATCTCGTATATACTAACATATTTAGGTATTCCTCTCAAAAATAAAAAGGTCATTGATGTTCTCAAATTGAAATCGCCATTATAAGCTAAGGCATTGACGATTGTTCGACGATTGTTATGGTACACACTTTGTTCTTTGCTTTAATATGTTTTATTTTAAGGACACTGGTGTGAATTATACATTTCGTAAGACATTATATTTTTTTATTAAGTAAAGATTAATGTACGACAGTTAAATAAAAAAGTCGAATATTGATTATATTGACCTTGTGTGCCCTTTTTCAGCGGAGCTGGGTAATAGATTTACTAACAACAACTGGAGACTGCTTTATCGAGAGTTTTTACCATTCGCCCAAGCAAATTGGAATAAAATTGGAATACGTATTGCCAACAAAATTTTCTTAAAGGTCCCTTACGATCGGCTTTTCCCGTCTAAGTCTTAATGAGGTTTAAAATACTGTTATAGAAATTCATATGAATGAAATATTTTCTGTGATACTTGCACGTCAAGAAAGATGTTTTGAGGACTTTTTTTACCTTAATAAATGTTCATTACTTATTTGTTTAATAAACACTTTCACTGTTGAGATTATTTGTTTATTTTTACCGTACTTATCTAATTAATAAAGAATTACTGCCAAAGAGCAATTCATTCAAATAGCTTTTTAGCTGATTGTCTGTGGTTGCGTTAACCATTAGGGTTTCTAAGTTCTGACCCGGGGTTCTGACTGATATTGAAACAGAGATTTGTCTTTTTTGTTTATTTTCTGTGTAATGTCATCATCTTTTGTATGTTAATGATTACTACTATTTTTTAATTACCTACTTACTAATATTGTGACCGGTTCGGTGCTTGGGTCAATTAATAAGGCTGATTAGCTTGAGTATAGATTTATTAATTATATAAGGGTAAATAAGAAACTGTAACAAACAAAAATTAAATTTAAAAAACAGTTCGTAAGTTACTTAACTAATACATACAAATTATCAAATAAACGAATACATACCCCTTGTCGGGCTTCTAGTTAAACTCTTGGATCGTCCAAAATACAGATTTCAATTTAGTACATATGTCATATAATTTGTATCACAATATCACATTCTTTATCACAATAAATTATTTTAAAATTATATAATAAAATTTATACGATTGATACTGTATATTAATTTTCATGTTGTGCATAGAAGAATTTCTTACGAACTGACATCCATAAAGAGTATAATATTACGAAAGACGAATAATAAAATGAAATGATGTCGAATTTCAAAAACAAAAAGTTTGCATACTGAAACCTAGGAAAACAAACGGTGGCATGGCACACCGTTACAATATATTACAGGAAAGAGTAGTTCGTGCCTTTTCACAACTTACGGCCGAAGGATTTTCACAGAAAAACAATCTCTAAACCAATAATCCTTTATTTTTAATCTGGTTCATGTGATGTGCAGTGACACTATCTCCTTTTATACATCTATAATAAATGGTAATCTTCTTTCATATCCGAATTTACAAATGAGTGCATTGCAGTGTGCGTTAGGGAGTCCCGAATTTTTTTTATTCGATTTCCTCTTCTCAAGACCCCTCAAAAGTTGCGCTATTAGTTGTATAACCATAAAAATAATAAAAAAAATATAAAAAGACATCTTGAGGGCTCTACTGTCATTTTTATTATAAAAATAATTAAATTAACAGTCCAGTCAATACTATTTTATATACATAACTCCCATTCTTTTATTTTTTTTTATTGATAGTGAAGCCCTAAACTACGATTTGCAGGTAACGACAGGATGTTTTCAGTTAGGAATTGGTTTGGATCGAACTCGCAATATTCGTGTTTTGGCTTGTTTTTCTAAAATTCTCTACTTCTACTGTGAGGCAGTTCGGGCAGTTTCATTGCTGTAAGGTATCGCTCCGTATTTTCTTGTGATAAAATACGCATTTGTCTTATACTTTAATAATGGGTTAAGGACGAAGTGAGACTACTTGTGCTATTTTGGGATCAAATAAAGAACTCAAAGGATCGCCAGTTACCAGAGACGTTATCAAAATCATTTTGTTTACTAAAAATAAACTGAAACAACAGAAGAATGGGAAAGATCCTTCTAACTCGGAAGTTTCTTTTAATCGTTTCTCAAAAACTTAGTGCGATTTGGACCAAAGCTTCGATTATTTTGATTCCGTACACCGTTTCCAATGTACGAGTTATCCAATTGCTAAAATCATATTTCGGCAAATACCTGTCATTGATAAGATATCTCAAAAATAAAAGAAATGATAGCTATGAAAGTATTCTTCAATATTACTGCTTGTAAGTGCACTTCATTTCACATTTGTTCCTGTATAAAACCAAAGAGAGTTCCTATTTCTGTAAGAGACTTTTTAATGGACCAAAGAAGTGATAGAAAAATAGAAATAAGCGGTATAGACTAATACTGCCAACAGTAGCTAAGGTATGCTATCGATATGGACTATCGACGCGATCTGCTTGTCTTAGCTGACGTAGGATTGGTATCTTCCAAAGATCTAATCCCTGTTATTGATAAGAATAAATTTCATAAAGCTGTTTCTAAAGCACGGACTAATGCCAGGAAAGATATTGATGCTATTGTAGTAAAAAGTATATACTTTGATGGACGAAAGGACAAAACACTCATATATGATAAAATAGGCGATCGGTACACCACCGCAGAGAAGTCTTGCAAGAGCACATTTTAGTTCTCACAGAGCCGGAATCTATTTATTTGGGTCATACGACGCCAAGTCGTAGCACTGCCAAAGGGAGAGCCGATCATATCTTTGTTAGAAAGTCAAGGGTTGAACTTTAGAAGAGGTGATCTGGGTGGGTTGCGATGGTACTGCTACGAATACAAGTTGGAAGGGAGGTGTCATTCAAATACCTGGAAAACGTTGCAATGATGTGTTTGTATGCTTCACGCAATTACCGCTTCGCCATTTATTCATGCTCTGGGCTTAAAGCATATACAGCATCAATTGAACAAGTTGGTAAAAATAAACCTCTAACGTTATAACTTTTTGTGCAATGGCTGGCAATGAGCCTGAATTATCCGATAATATTATGAAGGAACTAAGTACGGATCAAAAGTATCTATACGAAATGTGTCATGCTGTGATGAGTGGTTCCTGTTCCCCGGAGCTAGCGAACTGCCAACCTGGGAAAATAGCGCATTAGAGGTGGCTCACTACTGCCACTCGTATACTTAGATTTTATTTAAGCACTGTTTCGCCGTCAGATAACTTGCAGCTGCTTGTGAAATACGTGGTTAAAGTTTATGCTCCTGTTTGGTTCCTCGTCATACAAAACTCATCCTTTAAAGATGGAGCCAAGCATATTTTTCAAATGTTTGTGCACTCTCGATTTTTTTCCTGATAGTCAGAAATTTTTGCGCGCCCAGAAAACCTGCTTATTGCCATGTTATTCGACAACAGAGACCACATTCGAGAACTTGCATCTCGCAAAATATTAAAGCCAGAGAAGTGGAAAAGAGTTACTCTCGCAGGGTATTTAAAACACCAAAGCTTAACTTCTGTGCAAAAGATTACATTAATATAATATTTTGGCAAGAGTGGGAGATATCGGCTCCACCATCTCCAACGATGACCTTAGATTGAAGGCTACAGAACACTGCCTCGGCATTGATGACTTCCCCCTATCACATACAGGCAGTGGAAAGATGTGTGAAAGTAGTGACGCAGGCTTCTCAAAGCGTCATGGACACTACAGCTCGGGATGGTTTTTTGGCGCGGAAATGTCTAATTGTGGGCAAAAAAAACAGTTCTGTTTTTAAAATACTTGTCTTACAACTATTTTAAACCTTGCTTTGATTCATTATTGTACCCATAAATTTAATAAAAAGCATTTAAACTTTATTTTTGATTTATTTATAGTTTATGTTAGAAACCCCTAAAAAAGGAAAATCTCAAAAACTTCAAGGACCGGTGAAGGCCCCGAGATGACAGATATCCACAGACTGAGAAGAAGATTGAACACAATATTGCTTTCGATCTGATAACTCAGATTAATATCGAGTTGAAATCTAATTAGTTCGAGTCACGCAAACGCAACTTGATTAATACGAACTAAGCCTTGAATAAATTTCGTTTTTATTTGTATAAAGGAAAATGGAAACCAATGCCGTCTTTACCATAAGGGCACTAGGGGCCAGTGCCCAGGGCCCCCAACCTGAGAGGGCCCCTGAAGGACCGACAATTTCCTCTCACATTTTATATCAAAATAATATAGTCGGGCGCATTACACTTTTCTCGTTGCACGAACGTCGATCATTTTCAAATTTATACAAATCAATATATTTATATGAATAATTTGAGGGATTCGAACACCATTATACTTTGCCATTAAAGTTCATAATTTTAACGTCAATTTTCAAGTTAAGAATTTGTTTTTTTTATTCTGTAATTTGAAAGTTTGCAAAAATAATAATATTTCTGAAAAAAAGTTATAGCTCAAAAGAAATCAGGGAAAAGCTTTCTAAGCTTTCTTCATTTTTTTACGGTGGAAGAAACAAATAAGTTGGGGAATTATTCATCATCATCGCCTCAAGATAATACCTCTAAAGATCACTAGGAAAAAGAGGTTATTACGTGTGACGAAAACGACAAACGTACATCAAATTCTAAATCCTCAACATCAAGCAACTGTGAGTTAATAATTGCAAACTTGGATAGTGTATCTGTATCTCATGACCCTGTTACGTACTGTAACGGACTGTAACGACATTTTAACGGAAGAAAACCGTTTTTGGATTTGAAAAGGGTCAGAGTTTTTCCAGAATAAATACTGTGACTTTTTGGAACTTCTAAAAGTTTCTTTATGTGGTAAAACAAAAACTAAACACTTGACAAAAAAAAATTTACGCGTAAATTAACGAATGGTTTCTGGACAGAAAATGGCTCCTTTATTCCCCAGCAAATAAATCGGTGTGCTGTTACTGCTGCCGTCTATTTAATACCACTATTGATACTGGACATAATTTGAGTTCTCCAAATAGATATAAGGATTGGAAATATATAAGTAACTTATTGATGGAGCATGAGAACAGTTGCAACACAATAAGGCAAATTATGGCGAATTATGTTAATTGATAGTGAGTTGTTGTCCCGATATAATATAGAAGTTAACTTTTGAAAAATGTCCTTAGGAGAATTGTTGCAGTAGTGAAGTTAATATCTAATAAATTTAATATCTCAGCCTTAAATAACTAAATAAAGTCTGATAAATTAGAAGAAACTTTTCCAAATGTTAAAGTTGCTACAAGAATATTCCTTTGTCTAATGGTTACCAATTGTAGTGGGGAGTGTTCACTTTCACACATTAAGAGAGAAAATAATGAATTCCAAACAACAATATTACGAGAACGGCTAAATAATTTGTCAATTATGAGCATAGAAAGTGATATTCTTCAGAAAATTGAGTTTGAGGATTTAATAGAAGATTTTGCACAATAGAATCCTCGAAAGAAATTATTATAGTAATCACAATAAAAAAACAGCAGCATACATTCTAATTTTATTAATGACATATTGTATTATTATAATATATTTAATCATAGTAAAAAAAAATTATCGTTCGATTCGTTCTTTTTACATTCCAAAAGGGCCCCGAATTCTTGTGTGCCCAAGGGCCCCAGCATAGTCTAAGACGGCCCTGATGGAAACTATAATGGAAGTGAGCATAGAGAAGGTTTTTTCAAAGTTATGGAAAATAATAAAATTAATTCTGTGAAATTATTAAAAGTGGCATTTAGCTACAGTATACAATAAAATTTATTTATACAATTTTATAAATAAATACTTATGCTATAGTAGGTCTAGGAACTTTTCATTAAAATATTTAACATAAGTTCTGAAAACAACAACAACTAGGTAATTTAGTTTTGTTGCTATTAGTTGTTTGTTGAACTTATAGCAACAAAACTACATCAAGTCAATATCATATATTTATATTATGTGTGGTGAATGAATGAATAGGGTTTATTTATCAGCAACAAGGGTCATAAAAACGATAATTATAATAAAAAATCCATCTATTATCTATATACTTACCCGATATGTATGACAATCTTACCCGATATCAAAGTATGTATGTGCAAAGTATAACGTGCAAATAAGTTTTTCTTTCCAAATTAAGAATTAATTAAATATATGATCAGTTTTTAAATCTCATATTTAAAAATCTCTGCGGTGGTGTCGTTTGCGTCGGGTCGTTACGTTCCCTTAAATATAGATGAGCGAAGCGATGGATGACTCATGTGTCATCAACGAAAACTGCCAGTGGGTGTAGTCTGCGCCGGACTACTTAATTTTGTCCATTTTCTTTTACTATGAATATTGTATATTGATTTGTCAATGAGTATGTAAGTTTTCTGATATTGTAATGGAAACTGACTTCATAGTCTAATTAATATACATTCCAATAAGACTTCTCAGAAAAACATTAAGAAAAAAGTAGCCCTTGCTGAGTTTCTTGCCAATTCTTCTCAGTACAAGATCTCCCACCTTAGTTTTACGAACCGTTGGCAAAGTTTTCGACTTTCAAAAGTACGATGTAACAGCCTAGACTGAATTGATTTTGATATTTATATTAATATAATTCGACGTGTAGATGCATAATGGCATATATGAAAATACTGCACATAAAAAAAAACAAGCTGAATTCAGCGCTCAGCTTTTTGTTCTTGATTACAAACCTGAATTCGAATGAATCGAGTCAATTTAACTTACGAGCAATCGAGTTGGCTCATCGCCAATGTTAACACATAAACCAAACATCGTTCCTTTACACGTAACATAATAAATAACTTAAACTTACGATTCAAATAAATAAAAATTAATTTGAAAGTTAGATATTATAAGAAACACGACGCGATGTCATATTTATTAATTTTTGATACTCAATTTACTTTTATTATTTTGTCAGAATGAAAATTTCATAGACAATGAGGAAGTATTTAAAAAAACGAAAGCACTAAAAAGCACCTCCACTAGATGGCGACCATAGCAAAAGTTGATTTTTGCAGGAAACGAATGTACCAAAGACAGAATGTACAAATCAGAAAAACTGAAATTTGAAAAGTTCGAAACTTACATATCAATACAAATATGAAAAAGTACAAATAGAATATGAGTTCATTATTGAGTTTTGAAAACTAATTTACTTTTAAACATGAAAGAAAACGGAAGGGTTGTCATGGAGAAATCAAGAACGTACCGTAGCGACATTAGTTTGATTTCGGGAACTAATTCTTTTTTAAATACTTCCTCATTATCCGAATATCGCTAGTGACATCTAGTAAGATTTCGAGAACTAATTTTTATTTCATAATTACTTCGTCTTGTAAATAATTTAATGATTTTTACCAAATTGTCAATTTCCAAAGTTAAAATATCGATTCACTGAATTAAATAGATACTACATATCAATTACAAAATCAATCGATTTCATGCGATTAATCAACTTCAGATCTTACACTACTACTCTGTCACTTCATAATGTCAGATTGAGGTTATTTACTTTGAAATTTGTAGAACCGTGTGAAAAGCGAAACTTTATTAAATTGGGAATGAGTTAAAGCCAGTGGTGAATAATGGCTGCAATAATGAAATATATGATAGCCGGCTTAGTGAGATATTGGCTTATTCATATAGATTATTGGCAGACTATAGCGAATAGAGTTGAAATAGCTACTCCTCTGAATTCATGGAAAAGATTAGTCGAGGGTGTTTTTCTCTATGACCACAATATTAACCCATACGAAGGAGATTCCTTTCACGAATCTCCTATTATGTTGCTCATCTTCCACTGCCTAATGAAAAGAGTGCCATATTTGCTACCTCTTCTTTTCACTGTTTTGGATCTCCTTACGGCATATCTGTTATACAAAACTTCTAAGTCATTTATAAAGATCTTTATAGAATCCCAAAAGAAACAAAACGATGATATAGCAGAAGAATCTAAAACAATGCTTCTAAATGAGACGCAGTTGACTGAAGCAGCTGATTATGTTTTGTCTGTATACTTATTTAACCCATATTCTGTATTGAACTGTGCTGGTATGACAACTACTGTTATTCAAAATTTACTAGTGGCAACTTCATTATGGAGTGCATCAAATGGATATGGAATATTGGCATGCATATTTATAGCCCTTGCCACTCATCAAGCATTGTATCCAGTACTTTTGATTGTCCCAATAGCTATTTTATTAGCAGATGTCAACAAAGGTTGTAATAAATGCTCATACATCAGAACTCTTCTTGTATTTGTTCTGTGCTGGGGATTTCTGATTTATATATCTGCATATATTATGGATGGTTCTTATAATTATCTACATAATACATATGGATTTATGTAAGTACATGCAGTAATTGATATAGATTTATTCCATTAGCTGGTTGTCTATATTAATATTAATTATATATGAGAAATATTTATGCAAATGATTAAAGAAATTATTATTAAGTTTAGAAATCATTACAGTTTAGTATTTATAAATCAATGATGTGTATATGAGAAGCTCAATGGGGCAGTGGCTAATGCTCTTAGTCTCTGAGACAGTGTTTAAGCAGCTGTGGCCAATACAAAGGTAGGGTGACCAAAAATTTGTCATGAACTCCTGCATGTTTTAGAACGCACATTAAGCCGTTGATCCAGGCTGCGCTTGCATTTGTTAATGGCCCCCTCTCCCTATTTGATTTGATCCATACCCATTTATAGGCTGGTGATGATCATGATGTATATTAATAATAATTTTTTCTGTTTACAGATTGACTGTGCCTGATTTGAAGCCAAATATAGGCCTCTTTTGGTATTTCTTTACAGAAATGTTTGAGCATTTCAGATTACTGTTTGTGTGTGCATTCCAAATAAATGCGCTTGCTCTATATGTGATCCCACTAACTTTGAGGTTTAAGCGAGAACCAGTGCTTTTGGCCACAGTTCTTATTGCACTATCCACAATCTTCCGGTCATATCCATGCATTGGTGATGTTGGATTTTATTTAGCGCTCCTACCCATGTGGAAACACTTATTTACATGTGAGTTGTGGTAATTTTTTTTAAAATACAGAATAAAGTACCTTCTAAACTTAATTTTAAAATGTAAAACTATTTTAGTATAATTACAAATATATGACTTATATCAATATATATTACTTATCCAATCTATGGAAGATATGAGAATCTTATATTCATTCTTAATTATTTGTTTGTTATTTTCAGTTATGCAACAGAAGTTTATAGTGGGATGTGCATTCATTATCACATCAGCACTGGGACCTACAGTATGGCATCTGTGGATATATTCCGGATCAGCTAATGCAAACTTCTTTTTTGGAGTGACATTATCTTTTGCCACTGCTCAAATATTTCTAATTACTGATCTCTTATTTGCTTATATCAAAAGAGAATTTACTCTTAAGCATGGACTGTCACGGCAAGTGGACGGAAAGCCTGCCAAACTAGTATTACGATAGTTTATGTAATAATTGTAGATTATGATTAATAACCAGTGATAACTTATTTTTATCATAGGATATATGTTTGCGGATAACTCTTTAAATATTTAAAATTTTGCACATATTACAATAATATTGAATGATGCTGAAAAAACTTACTGTTTTTATGTTTTTTAATTTTGTAACCAAGTGATTTCTTTTATCAGTTAGATATTTTTTAGTTTGTTTTGTATCAATTCAATTAACTATGAATTTTTTTGCCCAAAAATACCTAAGTATATCGAGCCTTTACCGCCATTTTAGCGCAACCGACAAAAAACAAACTTTACAGGAGAAGGTTTTTTTTAAATATTTTTAAAAAGAAATGTGCTAATAAATTGAAATTTTACATACATTAATGATTTTTAGACATTAACATATATGACGAAAAAATATACAAAAATATTAAGTATTTAAGCAATTTATGTCGCTTAATTTATTTTTGCTGTCATAATCTAAGGTTGTTTTGACATTTACGATAAAAATATCCATTAATATTACTAATACAGTTTATTGTATTAGTATTATATTTTGATAAATAAATAGATATTTAAAAGGCGTTTAATTGAAATAGTTATAAAATATTGAAAATGAAAATTTATTTCTATTAAACAATTGGAGTAATGAGATCAATCAGCACAATTTATAAACTTAAACTATTAATTTAAAATGAAATCATCTTCTTCTCGTTTAAATGATATATATATTTTTTAAATGATATGATATTTTTCACTGTGTCAAACATTAAATAATTATATAAATTATTTGGAATAGTGAGATATTGTATTAATATAAAATAAAATTAAATATTTTTAAATCTCCTCATCCTCATCTGTTTCAGCTAAAGCATCACGTACGTTTCCATCATGCTTCATACTTAAATATTCTTGATGGTATCTGTTTGGAATCACGTTTTTGTTACACAGATCTTGTAAATCTTGGTATTTAGCTGATGAAAGTTTGAGCTCTTCGACGTATAAAGGTGTAGGCCCCTTTTCGACAATAGCTTTGTTTGCTCTTGATCTGATGATGAAATCCATGTTTATTTCGTAATTGTCACTATCTTCGAAAAAACCGTATTGAAATTTAATAATAGGATTATTTTTATGAAATTGCACCGCCCTTAATGAACTAAAATTAATTTTAAATTTAGCTGGTAATAAAGCTTGCGAAAAATTCTTCCAATCCATGAAGTCTCCGTAGTTTAAAACATTTATAATGTAGTTTCTAGGCTTATTTCTAGCATTAGTAATCATAGTTGGCCACTCAGAAGGAGCCCATACTGTTTTATTACGCACAAAATTTTCAATAGTGCTATGAATAGAATCAACAGGCATCATGGTGTGTCCCGGTAAAAGATAAGTTACCTTTATTCGTGTAATAGTAATTGCGGTTTTTAAGAAATGAATTAACATGGATATCATTGCGCGATTCCTATTTTGCCCGGCACAGCTATCGGAGTATAAATTTATCTCTGTATGGGTACCTCTTTGGTCTACCATAATCAAGTATTTAAAAAGGACTGTAACGATTTCATTACAGCTCCTTTTTCCGTCGCGTTCACCCCACAGGTAACAGTAACCTTCCCTTGTACCACTTTCGTATATACTTTCATTATAGTATGCATACTTCCTGGAATAGTATAGGGTAACACTTTTACCGTGTGGAGTATTCAGAACTTTTTCTAAATCAAAACTTACGCACAAGGAGTTAGAATCAGTTAATTTGCTCATTTTTTGGTCTTCTAAAAACAGTTGCTTACATTTTTCTTTATCTAGAATGTGATTTTTATATTCAGGTGTTTGTTCAAAAATAATTTTGTGTTCAGGTGATAAATTTTTGCACTTCTCACAAAAAGTACATTTATCTTTTTTTGGCAGATGGAATCCGATATTAAAATCCTTTTTAAAAATGTTACGAAATACTCTTTTTAATAATACTGATGATTCTGGATTATTTTCTTTTACGTAATTAACATACTGTAAATACAAAAACGATATATTTTGAAATTCTTGAGGTAAATATACTTTAGTGCTTTTATTGCGACAATAATGGGATGGAACAGCAGGCAACATCTCAATAAATAATTTTAACTGTGCGACTTCTACCTCATCAGATTTATTATGAGGACGACTAGTTCTTCTGCCATCGCGAGTGGTATTCAGAGTTTTATTAGCATTTTCGATGGTATATCTCATAGACATTTGGGATATGTTTAGGGTCTTAAGCAAAAATTGTTGACATACTTTAACTTTCTGTCCATTGTAGCTGATAAAATAATCGTATGATATTTTACGGATATTACTACTGGATCTTTTTCTTCCAATCGGTTTTTCTTTAGCACATGACAGCAGGAAATCTTTTTGTCTTTTATCACAACCTAATCCCCAATAGTTTTCAAAAATATTATTGCGATCATCTTCTGTAAATTTATTTGCACATGAGTTACCACATTTTTTATTCATACAAGGGTTTGGTTGCATAGATTTCCCTACAGCAGCGTTACGATTTTTTTTTGCTAAAAGTCGTTTTGGTAAAGGTTTTATTTTCCATTATCCTTTTTTACCAACACTTGTTTCTTCTTCTATTGTTTGAACGGACTTATCGTCATCCGAAACACTGGACGATGAGGCAGGCTTCCATGAATCTTCGCTATCAATACAGGCAATGCTGTCGTGGGTCTCCAAATTCTTGGACATATTTTGTTCTGGTTGGTCAAACAGTGAACTGGTCCTCGGCTGTATCAATTGATCAATGAAAGCTGGCAAAGTAGAATCATAAGTTGTCAAGTCCTTTATGTTCTGGTTATCTAAATCAAGTAAAGTGTAAGTATTCTCAGTGTCTGAATCACTGTATTCGACAAGTTTAGTTTGAGGTAATAGTGTTAATAATGAGTTAGTATTGAGCTCAGAATTTAAATCGGTATCACAAATATAATCGATCAACGAAGGTGATGTCGTATCAGTTATTATTGGGTCCATGTCAATATCGCTGTAGCTGTCTGTTGGTGAGATTTGATCTAAAGCTGGGGCCTCTGCATCTTGCTGTATGTTCTCGGGAAAAGCAGTTCCAGAATTACTATCTTCTGATATGGGAAGTGGTGATATTAACTGCATAATTTTCTTCATTCGTGACTATAAAAAACAAATAATAACTTAAAAAGAATCACAGAATAATAAATACATCATTAATGGACGACTAACGTAGGCAGTAACCTACTATGACTGCTTATTTTATACCAATGGTGCGCCCTCGCCTTGCTTTGGTTAATAAAAATTTTTCATGGCAATATCGGATAAAAAGTATCCATATTATCCCTGATGAACCCAGGTGTGAAGTAGTTTTCTAATGGTTAAATGGAAGAATAGTACATGGAACAAGATCGTTCTAGTATTTAAGTTTTCCCCAATTCAATTACCAAAATTAAAACACAATACATACCTTAGCTGCAGGATTCGACATTGCTGTTTTATTTGATGTTTTCGAGCTAACTATCTGTACTATATTTAAAACACAATAAGGAAACAATAACTGATACAATTTAAAACGTTTTTATGGCTGAAACTGTTTTTTTAGCTACAATTCAACGAGAACGATGTTTGTCTTATCATAATTACTTTCGGATATAAACATGTCACTACAGGTTTGTTTGTAGTAAACGCCTCATAGTCTATCACCTACGTCGGTTACGATAACAAGTAGTGTCATTTGCGCTACAAAAAATTGATCGCAAGGCACTTACGATAAAAATGCTTGTTGTTGCTTACGTTATGGCTTTAAAAATACATGTATTTACGATAATTTTAGCACTTGCTATAACTTTATAACGGTTAAATTTTGGCGGAAAACGTCAACAGGGATAGGTCCGTTAGGGTTTCAAATACTACTTAAAATGAAAAAAGCATTTTCGACAAAAGTGTCGCTTACGATAATTTGGCGGTAAAGGCTCGATATGTAAAACAAAGATGCTTTCTCTGTCTGTACACTGCGATTTTTAAAAATATGCAACAGATTCTGATGTAAAGCTAGTTCTTTTTATTAGCTGCATTTATATTATTTAGCTTACACTTTTATTAGACACTGAAAGAGTGGTTCGTAAGTTTTAAGGCATTAGTTAGAACGATTAATTACTTTGCACAAGTTTTGTGTTTAATTAGTTAACTAATTGTGTTCATTTAATTATTTATGCTACAAATATCATGTAACCATTCTACAAACATTGCTATATTGATAAGGTATCATCCATTTGTTAAGGTTCTGTACCCAAATGGTAAAAACTGTTACTAAGACTGCTGTTTGTCTATTACCAGGCAGTATATCATAAGCCGTGAAATCTAGAATGTTAAAGTTATTTATTACAGATGATTTATTTAGAAGATACATTTTAAATTAAAAAAGTATTTTCCATATGGGCACTACCAACATTTCTTGTAATTTACTGTTGATTTATGAAACCTTTAATCCAATAACTTTATTTTGATTTCAATATTAGTCAATGGTTTTATGGTATACTGCCTTATTTTAATTTATTGAACCATATTATAACTTAACGTTCTTACTACACTGTATGTACACAAGTGAATAATATAATGTATGTATGAGGTTTTTATGTATAAGTCCCGTAAAATGCTAATGCGCTGGAACCTTGTCGACATAACATCCGCGTGACGTACGAAAATAAAAATTATAGATAGCACAAAAGCCAAGAGATAAATTATTTATTAATTATTGAATTATTTATTAATAATCCTGAATATATTGTTATATTAAATTAATAACTATTAGTTTCTTAGTTAATTACATGAATTTTTGGAAAATAATAAATAAATATGTACATATTGAAGTATACGGAAAATAAAATATATAAAAAATAAAATACATTTAAACAGTTTATTGTGTTTGTATTTAGTTTGATTGACGTTTCGGAACCTTTAAAACCCGTAAAGGGTCCGAAACGTCAAATGAAACAAAATAAGAACGCGATGAAACCGTTTAAATGTTGTTTCATTTCCATAAATCCATAAAGTGCGCGTGAAAATATAAGAAATCAAAAAATAACATTTACTTTGTAATAACGCAATAACAAACATAAAGGACATTTTTTTTTAAAAAACCTAACTAAAAATCATTATGAAATGAGAGACATTAGATATATTTAATATAAGTAAAATTATGTTAACTTATTGTGAAAATCAAAATAGCAGTTGCTATTTCAGTTAACTATAAGTAACTTCACCAACCCAACTCAATAAGTGTACTTGTCAATCAATGTTTATTTGTTAACGGTACTGATTATTTAATGCAATTACGTCATCAAAATGGCGGCCAGGCGCATTAGCAATTTCCGTGAATTATAATTTATATCTATACTTCTATGATCTATACTTCTGTGTCTATAGATTGACTATTGTAGTGAAGAATTAATAAGTCAAACCCAGAAATATTACCCAAGTGTATAATTATATGAAATAATATCTTAAAAAATATCGTGAGACAATATTTCTCAATGTGTCTGATTCAATATTGATCATCTGAGCTTATGTAATTCACATGGATTATTAATTTTAATAACCTCTTTCCAACTTTATATTGAGACCATAAACTTCTGTGCAATTACTTATAATTTCGCAGTCATACATTTAATAGAAATAGGTAATATTAATCTTAAACAAAATTATTTGTACATATTGTATTAAAATTTAATTCTACTTGAAAGTTTTGACTTTTGAATGTGTAATTAATGGCGTATGTTTCGATTTATATAATCAAAGCGCTAATGACTGTTTTGTGTGTATTATTTCTAAAGAACAAATAAAACTGAGCCATTGCATTTTATTGTCATAAAATAATAAATATTTTTGTTAAAAATTGTCTATTTTTAATTAATTCACCTTTAAGAATAGTATCACATATCGCAATCAGTTGCCTATCTTATCATTAGTCCGTATTCAGTCTTATCTAGTACACTAAACGCGAAACAATGTGGCCCGTGTTTTAGTTTATTTCATTAATGATCCTCATAAAAAAATAGCAAAATGAAAGTTTTAGTAATTCTTCTGTTTATTTATTGTAAGTAAAAAACCGGCTGTGATAATTTTCAACATTTGTCAGTTATTATTATTTCATAAAAGTGTTCTAAATTCATTAATTGTTTACATAAACTCCAATGATATCTTTTCCACCGTTTTCCCATTTTCCCATAGTGAGCGATGGTATGATATTACCTAGTATTCCGGCACATCTGCTGGATTGTTATCGCGGCGGAGGCCCCGACCTTAGGGCACCAAAACGGCTTGATACTTTCCTCTCCTTATTGAAGAAACTGGAACAAGACTTCAGACTTGACATGAGAATGTTTAGTGGCGCTCTACTGAGAAGGTAAACATAAACAAAAAAGGTTTTCAAAACTAAATTAGCAATTCTATTGACAGCCATAATTCCTTAAACTTACGAATGCGACGCTTGTTTTTGAAGCCAGGATAGCAAACTGACTTCTGGTGCTAGTTTAATAGTTTTCGTATTATAAATTACACAGAACCTATATAACCCAAAAAATGTATCTGGGCGTTCTGTGGTATTCCACTGATGAATCACATCGGGATTCATTTAAACCCGGTTTATTACCGCTATCGTCATTATATATTCTAGAAGTGTGTAACTTTGTACGAAAATATAAACATTTATTCAAAAAAGCTAAGGACATTAAACCATATAGACAGCGTCGAGATCCTCATAGACTTGTCTTAAATGTTATTCGAAAATTAGATAAGTAGGTACGGAAAAAGTCGTTTAGCTATGTGCCTTATAGTGTATAATAAAATTCCAAATGAATTGAAATCATTAACGGCTAGATTGTTTAAAAGAAAATTATATGTCTGACTCAATTTTTATAGTATTAGCGAATTTTTGAACAAACGGAATTAGAAAATTATATTGACTTTATATTGAATTATACAAATTGTATTGGCATTGTAATTTTATTGAACTATGACATGTAATATCAATGCATTTCAACATAATAATAAATTATTTTGATTATTGTTAGGTTATTTCTTATTCTCGCTGTATTAGATTCCATTGTATTGTTTTTGCATGCTATTTGAAAATGGCGAAACATGAGGATATTGTACAATTTTTAACACTTTTTTACCATGTTGAAGGCAAATAAACTATTATTATTATTATTATTCGAAAACTGTTAAGTATCGCGCAACCTCTGTCGCAATTTGTCTCATTCACACCGGGCTCAATGAGAATGTCTTTAGTTACATTTTTAGATGATATTATCATATTGTAGTATTTTTAACAACTACCTTCTTTCCCGCGACGTCCCCCGCATAAATTATAGCTATGTGTGTATGACGTAGCTTCCCGTACCTACGTAGGTGAAAGAATTTTCAAAATCGGTGCCGGGGTTTCGTAAATTGATACAATATAAACAAACAAACAATTAAATCTTTCGTCTTCACAATATAAGTGTAGATGTTTATAATGTGAGATATGTTGACATGTTGATTACTCAAACTCAAACGATAAGTCAAAATCGACACGCAAAGAATTTTTTGTATTGAAAAGTTAAGCCTTTCTAAAGATGAGCTTTCTCATTTTATTGTAACGTAATAAATAATACAATTGTGCAATAAAAATGTAACATTAAATAATCCTATATAGATTCTATATTTTTCTATCTAACAAATTTAGGTAAAAATATCAGTTTTAGTTTTTTTTAGTGCATTAAAAGCCTGAGTAATCAATTATTCAATTGAACATAAGAATATTAATAAATTGTTAATTTGTTTTCCAGTTTCCGTTTGGATGGCATAGAAGAGTCTGCGAATGCTGTGGAGACGGACTTTTTATTACCATTTAGGGCATCTAACTTTCAATTTCACAAATATAAACTACTAATGGATTTATTTCTACCGACACAAAATCTTCTACAAGTCAATGAGAGTCTATCCTTGACTGATACTTGCTTTTTGCATAGAATTATGAGTTCTACAGTTCGTCAATGGGAACGCGGTGATGAGGGCATCGTGTGTCCACTGTCTGCGCAACAAAGGCAAAATATGGCTACTCAAAGTAGTGGTAGGTTAGTTACATTTTTAGTTAATAAAAAATAATGGTACAACAAGAATTAACATGACACATAAAGGCCTATTTGACATCGAACGACAATTCAGAAAATTTAATTTAATTTTGATAGCGTTAGTTATATCGAATATGGGAATACTAAAACAACACACTGGCAAATATTTAGCCAAAGCTCTCGAAAGGGTTGAAATCATATCCGTGAAGATTGTTTGTTCATCAGAGGCAGATCAGAGGTACCTTTGTTGCATCATAAATTATCGAAAACCTATATTGTAATTTCGAAAATAGATTTCATTAGCGGAGAAATAGAATAGGTCCTTGGGTGTCACGCTAATTCGTCCAAGTACATATTTATATTAATATTTTTGTTCATGTATAGAATACATAGCCGCTGCCCTATAGAAGAAGGGGTTATACATACAGACTGGGGACCTATAGCGCCAGGTACTTTAGTCGCAGCCATGGCGTCCTCGCTGGAGCCACAGCGGGTTTTGGTTACTGAAATTTTGAACGCAGATATCTTCAAAGCGGGAATATCTGAGCCCCTTATGGCTTCAGCTAAACAGGAATGGTTTGAGGATATAGAAGCTTTTTTGAACACAGACGACCAACCAATTGCACCGGATATTAGCAATACTTGGGTTGCTACTCTTGCTGGTAAGCATGACGCGTCTATGATATAAATCTTCATATTCAATGAAATATCATCTTTAGTATTCAATAAAACTATTCCTAAAGGTACCTATCTCACTTATCCTTATTAATTATGTGAAAGTACTTTCTTTCTGTTTGTTACGCTTGATCTACTCCGATCTAATCTGATCCGATTTATACGAAGTTTGGTAGAGTTAAAGCAAAAGCTACTAAAAAAGTTTAAAAACTTAATTGTCTCCAGAGATTAAGCCTGTAATTAAACCAGCATCTCACCCATAACGCGTATTAGTCCATATATGTAGGTCGATACGTAAATAAGTTAAGCGCATATCTATGAGTATGTAAACTATTTAGAATTTTAGAATTTCACGAAGTCCGTTTCTTTTTTAGGTGATTTAGCGGAGGTGGTAGTTAATCAAGGTCCCAGAGTGGGTTCAGTGGAGAACAGATTGGTAGTGGGTAGCAACAATAGATGGAATGATACATATCTGCCGCGCGATTTCTATTTATTACCTCAAAATGCATCCGTCGTCGATTGGCACTTTACTGATGCCGAAATTCTTGCTGGCATTGACGGTAATACCTCCATATTTTAGCTTAGATACTTGTTTGAAACCTCTTGTAAATTCCTGCTTAGCTGAAATTTTTCTGGTATTGATCTTATAATATGCGACAGTTCAAGTTTTGCTACTTAAAATTAAGCATAAAGGTTTTTTTAATTTTTTAACATGACGTTGACCGACGACCTCCGTAGCCGTGAGGTTCGTTCTCATGGGCTTGATACCCGGTCAATGTATATCCCGCTCAAAATGGATATTTCTATATTGATTAACCTCGATTCTGGTCTTTGTGGTACTTTTTTGCATCAGATACGCCATAATACGGGGGCTTTAGCTACTCATATTGAAATCTGAGCAATATATGTAATGTAATATACGTAATAATAATTACAGGTTTAATAATCGCTAATTACCTATCCCAGTGGGTCGAGACAAGACGGACATTACGACTCTCTCAAATTATAGACATGTACTATTCTCACGAAGGGATATCCTTCAACCCAAGAGTAAAAGCTTGCAACCGACAAAGTTTGTTCAATGAGATATTTCGAAGGGAGACGTTGCTGGCAGAGGCGTCAAAGTTTGCTAACGTTCTATCGCTTCGTCAAATAACTGTTTATGTGCCAGTTGAAGAAATGGATAGGATTAGTGAAGCTGCTGTGTCTGCATTCGTTACATATGCTCGTAAGTACAGCTGCATATTTATAACTTTACCACTTTGCCCGCGTAAATCAAAGCCTATGTTATTCACGTAGGATGTAGCTTCCTGTTGGTAAAATAATTTTTAAAACGGTTCAGTAGTTTTGGAGCCTACCTATTCGATAACAAACAAACAATCAAACCTAATCTCTATAATATTATGTTTGTTCCGGACGGCTTTAGTTATTGAATATCAAAAGCCGTCCAGAACGAATGTAAAAATATTTTGCTGTGTCTTTCTAAAAAGCCAAACAACTCCGGATTCTCCAGATAAACTCGGACAAATTATATCTCAATTTATGTCTATTGAACTTATGTTATTTATTATGCATTAGTCTTTTTAGATTTGATTTGATAGATTTTGCTGTAACTTTCCTAGTAAACATCTAATTAGCAAATAAAACAACAGAAACAAGGTCATACCAATTAAGAGTGCACGAACATCCAAAATGAGAAAATTAAATTATTAAATTTATAAGCAAACGTTGATTTTATTATATCAAGAAATTCAAATATATATATATATATATATATATATATACCTTGTTGTAATTACATCTTTATTAAAGGAAAAATTGATAAATATGTAGCCAAGGGGATTATGCTGCATTTTAACTCGTAAATTGTAATCCTTATAGTTAGCTAGTTCGCGATTATAGGTATACTAGCTTTACACCAGCGGTTTCGCCCGCATGGCCTTGTATTATACATCAAAATTCGCATCAAAATCCGTTGCGTAGTTTTAAAGATTTAAGCATACATAGGGATATAGGGAATAATAAAAACCTTTTTCGCTGCGCATTTCGCCATCCTCTGTTCCAGGGAAAGTGTTTTTGGTTTTATGCTCCCTCTTAATGAAAATCTATTTGTTTGTATTAAAAATGTATATAGCTAAATTAGGACCAAGGCTGTATTTATTTGAAATATTTGTTTTAGTATTACAGATAAGAGAAATTTCAATATAATATAATTTTAATTTCATGTTAAATTTCCTTAGATATAACATAACGTTTATGTTTCAGCGTCATTACTAAGGCGATATCATGTAGATTGTCATGTTAGTACCAGTGTTCCATACGTGGATTTACTTGTAGCTACAGACGGAGCCTGGGCGCGATACGAAGTTGAACAGTTTATATCGTAAGTGTGAAATTTTATTCTTTTAATATGATTTATCACTTGGAATTAATTCAACTCACAATTTATATATTATTAATTTATTCATCATTATTACCAGCCTATTAAGTCCCTATTGCTGGGGCTCAGGCATTCCCTAGGGTTGGAATCAAATCAATTCAAATAGGGAGAATCGGTTATTTTGACCTACCACACGGGTATAGTACCGATTGGTGGTGTTAATGACTGCAGATTAAGCCGGGACCAACGGCTTAACGTGCCTTCCGAAACGTGGAGGAGTTCGACATAGTAAATGTACGGTCACCCATCCTATGACGGGCTGTTGCGAAAGTTGCTTATAACAACCGTATCGCAGACCAAGCGCGCTAACCACTGCGTCATCGGGCTCCATAATTATTATAATTTATTGCGTCTCTTTAGTTCAAACCAACATTAGATTTACGGTCAGCAGCACATACGTCGATTAAAGTTTAATGACGCCTTTAACCTCTATGAAACAATTGGCAATTTCAATAGACGTTTGTGCAACCCGCTGAATATCTAAAGAAATATAATAACTGTTCGTTTTAAAACGTATATATATATATAAGTTATTTGTTGAACTCACGCCGTATATTTTTATTCTAGGTGGGTAGGTGGTGCCCTAGAGGTCAGCTTACAACCCAACACACTAGCTTTGATCCATGGTAACACTGGCAATTTCATTGTGCCTCCGTCTCACAACCTCACAGATGTTTTTCATCACATAAATAACTTTAATGACACATGTAAGTACACTACACTATGGTCATCTATCAACTTTTTTCTAATGCAATTGGTTTCATAAAATGTTTGCGCTTTCTAACACAGGGAACATTTCAAAATATTTACTATTATAAGCTGGGTTAAGCAAAAATTATGCACATTGTTAAGGTTCTTAATGAAAAATGTTTAAAAAAACACAATTTTTAAACTTTTTTCATTAAAAATATTTTTCAAAATAGCATAGTGAATCAAAAATTGATCAAATATAAACATTGTTAATGTATTAATATTGATTCGTATTTATTGACCTGGCTAATATTGTGGGCCTGATATTAATAAGTATGTGCTTTCAACTTTAATATTATTGCATGGAACTACATGAGTAACGTATTTAAGATCTTTAACTAACATCCTATAAACCCTATTAAGTATTTGTGCTTAGGTTAAAAATATTATTGATAACTACTTATTTAAATATTAAAGAGAGCTAAATTTATTCTATCAATTTGTGAAAAGTCTGAGACTTGTTTGTTACAGGGCCTAACCGATTGAATCTCCCAAATGTATTGTCAAGAGTAATCCAGTACTCAAGGAATAAGTCCCTAGAAGAAGAAATTTCGAATACCAGCGCTGGTCCAAGTACGGTGGTGTTAATCGTAAGCCCCGGTGGCAGACCTTCAGCTAATGAACTCCTAAGGTCCACAGAACTCATGCATTCTCTGAGAATGAGTTTCTTCGATGTTTATTTCGCTTACGTTGCTCGCGATCTTACAGATTTTCAGAATATAAATAACCAGTATTTGGATTATTCAGAGTTATTTTTATCGGTGAGTATCGGTATCGGTGAAAAAAAAAAATAATTTAATTTAATTTATTTCACTTTCATATTCTAATTTTAAAAAATAATAAAAAAATATACGTATCGGCTTGGCAGCCTAAGCTCGGTTTGGTCCTGGCAGCATTTGCAGTCGTTAATACCCACAAATACTCACTGGGTCTGCGAGGTGGGTTAAGGCCCGTTTTCCATATTCGATTTCCTGTAGAGGAAGACCTGAGCTCCATCAGTGGGGATATTCATAGGCTAGTGATGATGATGGATTCCTTTTGATCAAGCACGTGGACTCCTATTCTTATGATACAGGTAACTTCAACAGCAGTGAATGACGTCGTTGATGCTGTCGATACGTTTGTGGTGAAGAACGAAATTCCGACAAGAATATTTGGCCCTCACTGCCCGTTTAATGACACAATATTCGAGCAAAGTGAATATGAAGATTTTGTATTGCCTGAACGGAAGGTCACCTATAGGATACATCCCTTCTATATGCAACAGCAAACCTTCATTCAATTTAAGGTAAAAAATGTTAAAAACGATAAAAACTTCTTAGAACAATAATTCAGCGAATGCTTGGGGTTGACTTGTGATCAATAAGGTCCCATCTAAAGGGTGGCAAATAGAGCAATTCCCCAACAATGTATTTTTTTTTTCAATTTTGCTTTAACATATCTCATTGTACCTGTATAACGTGTTCAGAATTCTGGTGCTCCAGTAGACTAACAAATGTTAATATTGTAGATACGATTTCATCAAAATATCTTTTTGGTAATTATTATAATCGATCAAAAATGAGTAACTTAATTATATTTGTGTATAGTCGTAGAAATTATGAGTAGGATTAGTCGCACATTCTTATATTTCTGTTTCCATATATCCAGCGTGTGAAAAATATGAGATTGCTTATTGATCTTCAACTCTAACAGACACGATAACTATTTATCCACCAGAAAATTACTGTCTCTATGGCACTAATAAGTTTTGTAGTCACTTAAAATATGTCTATAAAGATCATGGCAAAGCTTATACAGATCTTATTTATGCATATAATTGACAACGCCAGTATATACTTGTATATATTACCTCGACCTGGATGCAGATCTACTCAATAAACTGAACGGTGTCGTAATATCAGTATTCGAATTGTTTTCAACCTTCGTGAATATGACCAATCTGCATTATGCCTATTCGGAAGCGTACCTAGAGATATGCGTGTATGCGTGCTCGCTCGGTTCTCTTTGTTAAGTCAAATGCTTACCTATATTTTATATAATTTGCCGATTGCATTTCCCATTCAGAATTCTAAAACACTCTCCACTTTGGCATCAAGGCATCTCTATAATACTAAGTAATCCAATAAAACCGGTTCGATTTTTGCCAGTCTGTTTAAATATTTAGTAAGATTTCTATTGTAGTGTATGGAAAGTGGTACGTTTCATGATGAAGAAATACTTAGAAAATATCTGTTATGTTTTTCTTAATAAATAATTAATAGAATACAGTAAACACGATAAGTTAGATGGAACATTGTTTAATGTGTTTAAATTATAGATCAGCACGCGTGTAGAGTTCCTCTAGAACGTTTTGTCAACGAACAAATGTCACTTTTCTCGGATACGCTCATACAACATCTCACTCTCGACCCGAGAAAGTGACATTTGTGTGTAGGCAAAGCGTTTCTCGAGTTTGTCATACTATAAGTGCTGATTATGCGTATACTTTGAATTCTTCATCATCTCATTAACTCGCGCGTAAAGTTCATTCAATCTATTATTTAGTACATTGATATTAAGATTTGTTTTAGATTCGTAACGGTGGTCAAGGCGAGTTGTTAGTTTGTTCCTGGAGAGGCGCTGACGCGTCTCATAATTGCCTTACTTTGGGCAACCGGGATACACGCATTTTCAACCTCACCAAACCTTGCCCTTCAGCAGACTTCTGCCCTCCAGCTTATTTTACTGTAGCTGCGACTTCTACAGACAACATTTGTGCACGTATGTTCTCGTATTTAAATTAATAATAACTGATATTTCATATGCATAATTTTTTTTTTTGTTTTAAAAATGTGCTATTTTTTTATAACTCTATAACTAGCTGTGCCCGCAACTTCGTCCGCGTGAAAGTAGCCTAAGTTACCCCTTATTGCATAAGCTATCCTGCTATGGAAAATCCTGTCAAAATCAGTCTAGCTGTTTCAGAGATTAGCCAGACAATACAGACAAACAATAAGTGTAATTTAATTTAGTGAAAAGTGGTTATTTTAATATTACAGACACTTCAGTTTTATTTATTTGTATGTATAGATAAATATATTCGTTCATTCTCTCTTTGAATAAAAAAATATCGTATTGTGGTACCATTTAAACCATATTATTTTAATTACACATAAAATACGTATATTTTTTAAAGAAAAAAGAAAATCGGAAACAACTCCAAGGCCCCGGGGGGATTCGAACCCCCGATCTCCTGTTTACTAGACAGGCGCTTTAACCAACTAAGCCACGGCGCCTCTGAGTGAAGTGCCGAAAATAAGGAAGACATTATAAGATTATTTTAGCATGTAAATTTGTTGAAATAGCAATAATTTATTTTAACAAACGATAGTTTCTATATGTCCCCTACTTCTTAGTAATCTTCGGATAAATTGATCCGATTTTCAAATTTGATTGATTTTGCAATAATTTTGATTAGTTACAAATGTAATTATATTTAATAAGTTCATATTCTATTGTTTGAATTTTTTCTTTATCAGATAATGATTGTCGTATGCCACATCAAGCTGGTTATTATATAACGCACTCTGGTCTTCGATGTTTATCCCTGCGAAGTTCAACGGCAGCTTGGAAAAGTGATATTGATCTAATATTATTTTTGTACTTAATTTATGTTGTAAGTTTTAAAGTTATATTTTAGTAAATAAAGATATACCTACTTTATCATAGAAATAAATCTTATTTCTCCTATTTATTAAATGTTCAAATATAATAAGTATCATAGGCTATATCTATTAGATTTTCATACGAAAAAAAATTAGAGCCGGTATGGTTTAAAATTTTACAGAAATAAGATATGCCTACTTTAATATAGAAATAAATCTTATATCTCTTGTTGATTAAATGTTCAAGTATAATAAGTAATTACCACATGCTACATGTATTAGATTTGATTATGAGATAAAAAAATCAGAGCTAGTATGGTTTAAAACTATCAAAAAGAGTCAGCTATTTTGTACCCCTGGTGGGACTCGAACCCACAATCCCCGGCTTAGGAGGCCGATGCCTTATCCATTAGGCCACAGGGGCTTAGGTACCGTTGTTAAAATTTTTAGTCACATTTGAGTAATGTATTGTTCATATAGTTTTGATTATATTGCTATTTTAGAAAAATAATTATTACAATCATAAGTACTTACAAATTTCCTTTTTTTTAACCTTTTATAAAGCAATTTTAATAGTAAATTCTTTTTTTTTTCAGTATTTATATACAAAATATTTATATTTTTAAGCAAAATATATATTTTCTTTACTGCTATAGAATGTTATTTAAACTAAAGATCGAGCTTATTAAACACTGGTTAAAATACAAAACAAAATCTGTGTGAAACAAATACCTATAGTTTGAAGACATGCAAAAGCGCCATCTAGTTTGGTTCAACAATCCTATTACCACAGAATATTACTAGAGTGCAAACTGGGTAAGGCCTAGATATGCTCACTAGATGTCACATAAAGTAGCCTAGCAGACATATCAAGGTGATAAAATATCATTACCTGCATTTGGTACTATTTAAAACGTGTGAAATATCATTGGTTTTTTGTATACCCGCATATGATTTATAACTTTTATAATATTGAACAATTATATTTCATAATTTATTCTCTTGTGTATAGTAATTTCAACACTTTCTTTACCGACTCCGTGGCGCAACGGTAGCGCGTCTGACTCCAGATCAGAAGGTTGCGTGTTCAAATCACGTCGGGGTCAAACTTTTTGGTTTTATTTTTCATTTCGATTCCATTGCGGTCATTATCAAACTTCACCTACGAATTACTACTCTTTTACCGTACACGCTGTGCACCTGTGAACTCCTTGCCAGAAGCAATGAGGAAAGTATAAAGATACTTTCATTCCATTCTTAATCTTCTAATATTCTTCTATTTATATTATTTCCTTTATTATTGGTGTTTTTAGAAATACTTTTACCTATGGAAAGCTACATCATATGTGCGGGTGACATAGGCCATATGATATTTACGCGGGTGAAGTCACGGGAAAACAGCTTCTTTATTTTAAAATGACTTCATGAATTATGTATTGTATCAGTAGATTTATTAATGTATTGTAATTAACAAGAAAGTGATTGTGGTGCAAAAATATTGCATCATTATTATACCTACTGGATTTCAAATTCCAAAATGTATGTATATAAATGTGAAATATATGTATCTGTGCAAGATTTATTTAAAATAATGTATAAGTTTTATAATTTCATAGATATGTGTAACCTAGGGGTCTTTCCGTATGCGACTTACGACGTTTCATCCTACGCATTATTTTTTTCTTTACTCATCCTATTTATGTTCCTAACTCAACCTGCAATAATTTATTTCATTATAAATTCCTTATTCATTCCATCAGTATTGTTAACTCATCATTTTTTTTAATCATCTTAAAATGATGCAAGAAAATTTGTACGGGTTGAACAAAAATAATATCTTTTTGTAAATCCAAGTTCATTCTTGTTCAGTTGTTGCTTTTTAGATAAATTAATAAAAATCTTATATTTTATGGAAAAGAACACAAATAAATTATGTTTTCACAAATAATTAGTAACAGTAGGTAATAATACTTTGTAAAATTAAACATGCACATTTAATTTATAATATTAGACATGTATTAGTATCAGTGGCGTAATTGTACCGTTTGAGGCCAGTGGCAAATTCATCTGATATTCATTTTTTTAATATATAAATGTCAGGAGTCTCCTCTCACCGGGGGCCCCTTCCAGCTGGGGGCCCGTGGCATTTTGCCGACTTGTAGTTACGCCACTGATTAATAGTAAACGTTTTTAAGCAGTCCATACTTATTTACTCGTATAATATTTGCTTCCGGATGAGTAAGGAATACGCGTTTAGGTTGAATTTAAAAAAATATTCATAGATTGAGTTAGAAAAACAAAGTTCGGGATGAGTGGAAAAATGGGATGAGTCGTCATATTACGAAACGCTAATAAGATTTAATAAAAAATATTTTTGCAGATTAATGACGCAAATAATCTGCCAACAAATTATTTCAACAAAATTACAAGAATATTTCTTTCTACATCACTTTGATAGGGTTATCTCTGACAGCTAAAATATCGAAGGTATTATGAAATTTATTTATTGCTATGACACTGATAGTGTGCGATAGTAGTGAAACATGATTCACATTCTGGGGGAGTGGCGTTCACGTCACAACGACAACGTATTTCATAGTTATGATTATATTACAATATAATATGTTTTCAGTAGTGACTCTTAAGTCGAAAACATCCCAAATAGGTTACGTACACTTGATAAGGCATTTTAGTCTGTAACTAGAAAATCTTCATTCCTGACGCCTGTCTTAACTGCCGCAAAGACGAGGACATTATAATATTTTCCATTATAAGACTTGTCTCGATGTTTTAGAGTTCTTTTTGCAAAATACATCAGGTTTTACTGACGTTTCGGTATTACGGTGATGGTAGTCGCGACAGTCAGGTGACCGGCTTGCGAGTTTGCGCCGGCGCCTTTTCAAATGAATCGTATTCTTGGTAACACACATACGTGTGTGTATGTGTGTGTACATTAGTATCTTGGTGTGCTTTTCATATTAAACTACAGCCAGTACTGTGATACAGTAACACACCTACTCTGGTTTTCCATGTGTGAAATTTAAGACTTGTTTGTGTTCAGTTGCGAGGTCGTGAAGTGACTGGAATTATTTACAGATTTTTTTTTATGAAATCTCGAAGTCGTTAAGTTGACACGTTCAATAAGGACTTGTATGATTAACTGTCATTATTAGACAGTGAATTTTAAAGTTCACTGTAAAATTTTTTTGTTCGTCAATAGATGGCGTTAGAGTTTCTAATATGATATTTTTTTATCAATGAAAATGTTCAAATGTCTTCTTTTGTGCGTATTACATAACTCTAACTTTAAAAGAACTTCTTCTTACACCTTAGTCACAACATGTGGCTCGGTAATGTTATTACCGTCACATGAACATTTGGCATAAAATGAAAATTTTACTTAATGTTATTTTGTTTGTTAATTACCTACTTCTACTTCTTTTTTACTTATGTACAATCATTTTTATATGAAACTGCTAAAACACAATGTTATGTATGACTAAGGTGCCAACTTTGTGAAGTAAGGTTACGAAGTAATTATAAAGTTACGGGTAGAAGTTTGGCTCTAAATCAGACATAACTTTTTGACAGGGTTTCGTCTTGGCAAGATTTTACATGGGTTGAGGAATGATTAGCTAAAACCTGAAACACATATTTTTTTAACTTGTAATAAGAAGTCTGTGTGCTCGTATGAATCGTTCTTCAATCGGATAACACATACCTAGTCAAAATTTCAGGAAGTTTCATACAAAATTCTACCCCTGGTTTAAGCGGATCAGATGTAAATGATTTATAATAAGATACGTTTTTAAATTGTTATATTTCCTTTGTGTTACCAAAAACTACTTATTGTCTTATTACCAAACTTTCTAGATTAGTCAGTGATGAAATAGGGAGTATTTTAAGGGGGTGTCAAACCTGAACTATAAAAGCTATGTAATTTAAATTTCTTATGTTTAACAAGTCATCTATTAATATTATAATCCAGAATTTTGTTAATCTGCTATAATTACGAAAAATGTCGACGCACTTATACCCTTTGCGCTTTATTTGGATCATCTTGGCGAATCACTACCGTCGTCCCTAACATTTTGGAGTCTGGTCAGACATCATACGTTCTCTTGACACATATTTTCTATTTAAACATATAGCGCATTTCATAATATATGATGAGTATGATAATAATTTGAAAAAGGCTAATGTATGATGAGTATGATAATTTGAAAAAGGGTTATATTTGTGTTATCATATCACATAATCATGAGTAGGCATAATTATTCATTCAGTGTTTGGTGTAAACCAAGGACTAGGCGTATATTTGAAATGCAGATGTGATGGAAAATAAAAATAAAAAAAGATTTGTAACCATGTTAAAAAAAAATCGTAAATAATTCTAGAGATGTAGACTTCTTAACTAATTACGATAGTTTATATTCCACGCAAATCACGTTCAAAAAGTTGAAGTTATATATTCATGGATTTTGTTAACTACTGTGTGCACTTTGTCACGTTTGTCCTTCAACGTTGCCAAAGTCAAAACGATGATGTATCTATTTTTAAATATTTTTATACAAAGTCCAAGATGAAGATCTATCATATTTCTTCCTAAATAAAAGAGTTTTTAAATATTATGTTAATTCACAATACACAGAATGTTACTTTGTCTGAACTATACTTATTTGAATTACATAGTGACTAGCAGGTATTCTAAAAGACGTGAAATATATCGGCAAGAATGAATTCTTATTGATATACTGTGTTTAACAGACTCCTTTTATTGTCTGTATAGGTTATGTTAAATAATATATATTTTTATTGTATCACTAGCCGTTTGCTCGCGACTTCCCTCGTGTAAATTATATCCTACGACACCCGCGTCGCGTATGATGTAGCTTCCATAGTTGAAAGAATTTTTAAAACCGGTACAGCTGTTTCCGACTTTTAGAGCCTGTTCAATGCACACAAACAATTAAATCTTTCCTCTCTATTTTATTATTAAGTGAAACAGCTGGCTTTAAATAGTCCGATTAAAGTT